TGGAGGACTTTAGGAAAGAGATGGACAGAAATACAGTCATCACAGGGGATTTTAACACCCCACTGTCAACAATGGATAGATCTTCCAGACAAAAAAAAATCAACAAAAATACTGCAGAACTGAATGACACTAGTTCAAATGGACTTCATTGATATTTATAGAACGTTTCACCTCAAAATAGCAAAATACACATTCTTCTCAAACGCACATAGATCATTCTCATAGATAGACCACATGGTAGGACACAAAACAAGCCTTAACAAATTCAAGAAAATTGAAATCATACCAGGCATCTTCTCAAATCACAATAGCTTGAAACTAGAAATCAACCTCAAGAAAAAAACCCAAAAACATTCAAATTCATGGAGGCTAAATAACATGTTTTTAAATAATGAATGGATTAACAATGAGAGCAAGGGAGAAATCAAAAAGTATCTGAAAATAAATGAAAATGAACACACAACAACCCAAAACTTATGGGACAGAGCAAAGGCAAAGAGCAATATAGGCCTACTTAAAGAAGATAGAAAAACCTCAAATAAATAACCTAACCTACATCTAAAAGAACTAGAGAAAAAACAACAAAGTCCAGAGCATGAAAAAAGGAAATAATCAAGATCAGAACAGAATTAAATCACATAGAGAATAAAAAAAAAAAAAAAAATCAAAGGATCAATGAATCCAGGAGCTAATTCTTTGAAAAGATAAGCAAAATTGACAAACCATTAATCAGATTCATCAAGAAAAAAAGAGAGAGGATCCAAATAAATAAAATCAGAAATGAAAGAGAAGTAACAACTGATACCATAGAAATACAAAGGATTGTAAGAGATTATTATGAACAACTATATGCCAAAAAATTGGACAACCTGGGCAAAATGAATAAATTTCTAGAAACGTGCAATCTTCTAAAATTGAATCAGGAAGAAACAGGAAACCTGAATAGACTGATAGAAACTAGTGAAAATGAAGCAGTTATCAAAAAACTCTTGGCACACAAAAGCCCTGGAACAGATGGATTCACAGGCAAATTTTACCAAACATTCAAAGAACTAACACCTCTCCTTCTCAAACTATTCCAGAAAATTCAAGAAGAGGGAAGGCTCCCAAACTCTTTTTACAAACCAGTATTATCCTAATCCCAAAACAAGGTAAAGACACAACAAAGAAAGGAAATACAGGTGAACATCTCTGATGAACATAGATACTAAAATCCTCAACAAAATACTAGCAAACCAGATCCAACAATACATTAAAAAGATCATACGCCATGATTAAGTGGGATTTATTCTGGGGGTGCAAGGATGCAAGAACATTCACAAATCAATAAATGTGATACATCATATAAACAAAATGAAAGACAAAAATCACAGGATCATATCAATAGAGCAAAAAAAGCATTTGGTAAAATCTAGCACCCATTTACAATAAAAACACTCAGCAAAGTGAGAATAGAGGGAGTATACATCAACATAATAAAGGCCATACATGAAAAGCTTACTGCCAACATCATAGTCAATGGACAAAAACTAAAAGCATTTCCCTTAAGATCAGGAACAAGACATGGGTGTCTGTTTTCACTACTTTTATTCAACATAGTACTATGTTGTTGAGTTAACAAATGACTCATCCTCTGCCATTTTTCCTTTTCACTCTACAAATATTTCCAGGCTTGTTCTTCCATGTTTATGGCTCTCAACAGCTTGAATTTCCTTTTTCAGTCTCAGATATCCACATTTCCTACAACTTATTAGACTTATTTACCTGGGACCATCATAAAAAACCTCAATTTTAATAAATTCAAAATGGGATCTCCCCCTAAAATGCCTCTGGCCTAACTTTTTGTTTCCCTTGATAGATAGATGGCAATGCCATTAATTACCCAAACTAGGAAAACTAAATTGATCTAAACTCCTGTCTTTCCTTGTCTCCCCCAAGGTATGTCAATTCTATCAAAGCAATGTCTCTGAATTCCCTCCCTAGCTGCCTTTATCTCCATATTCACTAGGGCAGTGATTCAGGCCCTCATTGGCTCTCCCCTGTACTATAATTTCCTTCTAAATAATCATCCAGCTTCCAGTATTCCCCTAACCAGGCATTCCTGATCTGTTTTTCAGGATGCCACAAGAATAATCATGATAAAACACATCCAATTACTTTACTTCTTAAGAAACCTCCAACAGCTTCGCAGTGAACTTAGACATCTTCACACACTATAGAGGACTCTTCTAACCCGATCCCAGCCCACCTTCCAAGCTTCATCTCTAGCTGCTCTCCCTGGTAGATCATAAACCAGTACGAGCTATATAAAGTTCACTTCTACAGTTTTGCTTAAAAAACCCTCCCAGCTCCAAGCAGAGCTGCTTTCTCCTCTGCAGTCCTATACCACTTCAGGTGAGTCTAGATCACTGTGTTATTAATGTCCATTGTTACAGTAAGAAGTTAGCAGAACAGCGTGGTTCTGGAGCAAAATTATCTGTGTTCAAATGCCAGTTGGGTAGCCATACCTGTTTATTCATCTATAAAATGAGATAATTTTATATATCAAATTTTTATGAAGATTAAATTATGAGAGAATGAAACTGCTAGCCAACTGCCTGGAACAAAGAAAGGGATCAATAAATGTTAGCTATTATAATTTCATGTCCCTTTCAACACTGAGCTATTCAAGGGCTGGAACGAAATTTTATTCACTTTCCCACACACACACACTTAATAGCAGGCTTCAACTGAATTGGCAATTTTGAGGCATTTAACACCCACACCATGGCCACTCTGATTCCTAATAAAATGCTTTCCCTTAACTACTCGGAAGGTGAATAACTGTTATGTTAGAATAGAGATACACTTAGACCTAAAAGAAAACAGGCAGTAAAATAAAAATTAGCATATATACTTAACTTACATATTTAAAATTTTCACTGTTTTTTAATAATCTTACTAATGAAAATACACATATCCCAAAATGAAATCCACACTGTATTTCCTACGAAGTTTCTGATTTCCTAGGCAATCAGACAGGTGGTAATTTGGACGAACAGTGTTTTAGAACCCTCAATGGTTTTATACTTCTAGTTTCCAAAATGTCTTGGAGTCAGGACTGGCATTAAAGCTTAGATGAGGCATTAAAAAAAAAAAAAAAATGCTTTCCCCTCCCTCTTTTCCTTTATCTAATTCCTTGTTTTAACATTAAATCAATGCTTCCCTCACATCACACTATAGAAAATAAGACTTGAAAAGATGAAAAAAAAATGCAGATAAAATATAAACAGTCAATAACCAAAATAATTTTAAAAACATAGAAAAAATTGTAAATGAAATTCTAAATACTAAATAAAATTTCAACTTAAATTTTCCATTGATTTAAAGAAAGGAGGCATCTTCATAACTGCATTTTCATAAAATCTCCACACTCAGCTATTTTTTAATATAAAAGGTAATATGAGTACGGATTAATAGCATAGTCTTCAGGGTCAGATATTAAGACCAAGTATAGCCTTTACTTGAACCCACAAGCTCTGCCATTTAATTATCCATACTTTTGCAACCTTGGATTCACCATCCCCAAAGTGAATATAATAAGAATTAGATGAGATAATGTATATAGAAAGCACTTAGCTTATTGCATGACAAAGAATGAGCACTCAGTAAATCTTACATGGTGTTATGTGATTTTCCTTAAATTTTACTTTTCATAAATGATGGTACATGCATAAAATGGAATTCTATTTTAACCATTTAAAACATGAGAGTTCTATACTTATTGATGCAGAATGATCTCCAAGATATATTGAATAAAAAATAAAAGAACAGAATAGCATGTACAGTATGTTCCACTTATTTTTTTTGCAGATGTTTATATACATTTATGTTTGTACAAACAACACATATATGTAAATGACTAACAGGCAGAATTGGAAGAGAGTCTTACATTGACTACTCCTTGTACCTTTTGAATTTAGTATCATTTGCTTTTATTGCCTATTCCAAAAATTAAAGTTTTATAGTATGATCCAAACCTTATGCTACCAAAATATTCCATTATAAAGTGTATTATGCTAGACTTTGCAGAAACACCTAAGGTAACAACCAGAGTTCTAGTATTCATTTCAATTCTATTGAGGATAACAGTCACAGACTGACAGAGCTTTAGCTAAATTAGCAAGTAAGAATCAGTTAAGATATATAAAAGAGGGTGCTTAGACATGAGAAAAAGCCTAAGTATATGGATGGAAAAGACAAGAATAACGTCATTCATTCATTCAAAAAATATATCTGCCCACCAAACACTGTATTAAGTGATGAGGAAACAATGACACCTGGTCCTTGCCTTTGAGAAGCCAGCAGTTTAGTGGGAATATAGGAATACAGCAGTAAAGTTAGCACCCCTGTGGGCTTGGTTATTCAAAAAATAAGTGCATTCATTCATGAACATATAACAATTAATGAATGAAGCAAAGCCGGTGAAAAAATATAACCTACGAAAGCCTGTAGCTACTTGAAATTAATCTTATAACCTATCCCTCAATCTGCGACTGCTTGTCGGAGTATGTTCCCAGAATCCCAAGAACCAGGGATCCCGCCCCGCCAAGGGGTCCCAGGCGTGACTTTTAAATCTAGTGCCTGTTCACCAGTCCAGACAGCATGGGAAGGCGCAGGACATAAGGGTTGGGGCCCCAACCCCACATTAGCATCTCTTCTAGCCAGGCACTCCCACACCTGGGCTCACCAGGTTTTTTAGCTAATAGCCAGAAGGGAACAAACCCTGGAGCGAGCTCTGACCTTCAAAATGACACTGGACCAGTTCCCATATTGCTCGGGCTCCTTCATACACAGGCAGTAACAAAAGGGCAAAAGAGGTTGAAACTAACTCCTCTCCAGGGCCCGAAAAACGTGAAAACAGGAGGCAGCTGGCTTAGATCGAGATGGGAGGGTAATTGACCCAATGCTTCCCAAGTCCTACGCAGTCGACTTGGCCTACTCATGGCACAGTCACTGACCTTTCCAAAAGGGGTTCCCAGGGGCGGTGACCGGAGGGGTGAAAGCAGCTGCCCAGGCTCTGCACCCAACACATCGCCCTCTCAACCGGCTCTGCACTAATCGCAGGGTAACCAAGGGCGACCAGGAGGCCGCCATTTTGAGCTCCGTAGAATGGGAGGAAGAGACAAACTTTTGACACCCAGAAGAGAGACGGTGGCACAGACACATTCAACTGCGCTCGCGGAATGCTCGGCCCGAAAGAATGAAAGGGAGCAGTCCCGGAATGCGACCTCTTGTAGAGAGGGGGCGGGCTGGACGCGTGTGCCTTTCCGCCCTTTCGGGCGCTACCAACCGGGACTACAACTCCCACCATGCACCGAGGCGGCGCCAGGGGAGAGGCGGGGCGGAGGGAGGCGGGGCGGAGGGGGGCGGGGCGGGCAGCTGTGGCCTTGGTGAATGGGGCAATTCTGCGCCCTTCGCTTCAGGGGGAGGAAACCAAAACGTTTTTAAGGAATTGGAAGTGGAGTATGATGTATAACCACTCCTGAGCCTTTTCAATTAGCGCACCTGACCGAGGTTCCGAAAGCTGGATAAAATGTTGGTGACTCAATGGGCTGTCATGTTGTAAGGAGATACTGTTACATGGTCACTCCCTAAATAGTATTCTCAATTTGGGGGCCGGTTGGGAGGCCCCCAGCGCCCATCTCATCTTTGGCAGAGTACCTTGTGTTCCTACCACTTTTGTTTTCTGTATTAGAATAGCATAAATCATTTTCAGTATGTTATACGCTCAAATGTTTTGAAAGAATTTACAAGTGATATGGGAAAGCCAATGGCCTGAGATGGACAGTGAGTGGAGGGAGTGGGCTTGGATTAGTGTATCCAAGGAGGAATTTCTAAGTGATCTGCCCTAATTTTATTAAACAAAAAATGTTTTGAGGTTCTATGACGAGTGTACTAGGAATACAAATTAATGTCTAGAAGAAGTTAGCAATCCAGTAGAAGAGGTGAAGAAAGAGACAAAAGACTCTACCAAGTGCTGTGAAATTAATGAAGGAGCACTTTGGGAAATCTAGAAGCTTTACTTTTAACTGGAGATGAAAACATTCTAAGAACAGGAAGTAACAGTGAGTAAGCTCAGACATGCAGGCAAGGAGTCTGGAGTAAAGGAGAAAACCAAGTTTTAGTTGTGTGGAAACTAAATGAAAAGACTTCAGTAGAAAGAGTTCTAGGAAGTTAGGCAGGAAGGAACTTGGTCCGCAATAGAAGAGTGATTCCAAAGAAACAGGAAAAGCAGAGTATAGTATGGTATAATGATTTGGAGACTTCACTACTAACTGTCAAATAATTTATGGAAAAATTATTTTAATTGTATCTTTCAAAATAAGTTCATTTACATATACAAGTTGTTTTCTATCTTTAATTCCATTGTTTCATATGACAAACTATTCCTCCATCGTAGATGAATTAGAGATTTATTTATTTATTTCACTTACCATTACTAATTTTTGGTGTGATACTTTGTGAAACACTTTTTGAAAAATCAGACTGTTTTTTTTTTTTTTTACTTACATATTTATCACACTCAAAAGACTTTCTAGGTACATTTTCTTTTTTGTGTGCTCTAGGAAAACAATCACTTGCCTTGTTTGATAAAAATACCTTTTATCAGAAATTTCAGCTTCCTAATTATAGAAATGACATAAGATTTATGGATAGTTTAAAGCCAAATTGGCAGGAAGATTTAAAGAAAATTTTCACATGCTGTGCAAGTGGACAGAAGTGTGGCAAATAAAATTTATTGTGTATAAGTATAAAATAACTTTTAGGGAAATATCTTAGGTTACATGTGTTGTATTCAAGAGAATTGTGACCAGAACACTAAATAAGTAGGCATTATAAACTGTTTTATTAAAACACTAATTCTGTGCTCTTGCTGTTCCTGCAATTGCTAAAACAAATACAAGAGGAAAAAGTAGCCCTAAAAGAAAATGTTAAAGTTATTAGAAAAAGTAAAAGAAGTAAATCAGAAAATCAGAAAGCATTATCTTGTCTTTATTTAAAAACCTCCATAAAGTGCCAAGTCCTGACATCTAATCTCAAAGACAAAACCAGACTGAAAGTCTCCAGAGAAAGAAATAAAACAAAGAGAAAGTGGGAAAGAGAGTGGTCAATGGAAAATAGGAGTCAGAAGATGTATATGGGTTCTGATTTTTGTCTCTAATGTACCCTCTCCTTTTCTGTTTTCCTCCAAGAATCTACTTGGTTCATTTCTCATGTCCTCACTTTGTTATGATACCTTCTCAGTTAAGACCTTCTCAAACTACCTGTAAAAATTCTCAATCACACCCAGCACAACTTGTCCTCCTTCCCAGCTCTATTTTCTCCAAAACACTATCACCCAGCATGATAGTTTATCAATTTATTAACATATCTGTTCTTACTGCTCTCTCTGTATTTTAAGTACATGTAGGCAGGGATTTATGTTTGTTTTGTTTACTGCTGTATTCCCAGGGCCTAGGATAATGCCTAGGTTCAGAAACAATCAATAAACACTTAACAGGTGACTGAATGAGTAATCTTAGTAAAAATACGAAGTTTATTGTTGTTGTAATCTTTCTGCAAAAAAACAGAATACCTGCTTCATGAAATCAGTGATACTGCTAATATTTTAAGCCCATTTTAAAAATGAATTTTGAAAAACACCATCTTATTTATTTATTTGTTTTCACTATACACGTTTGATTGCAGTTCTTCTGATTTAACAAAAAAAAAAAACACTTTAGAGCTACAAGAAATATGATTCATTTGAACACAAATAGGGAATGATAAGTCAAATATCTAGCCTTTAATTCCAATGTAATAGTTAAAGATCCCTAACCAAAAATATAATTTAGATTAATTTCTACAAGCTGAAAAAATACACCTAAGTACCTTATTAACCATGAAAAGTGTAACTTCTAAACAAGATATACCTACCTCAGTAATATATACTTATAAAAAGCATAGAGAGATTTTCTTGCAAGCAGTCTACTCCTTCTAATAAGTAAGAATTACATATTTGCTAAGCTTCTAACAAATGTTACCATTTTTTTTCCTTTACTAAAACATTATCTGACTTGTAACTCAAGACTGGCCAAAGACAATATTTGAAGTCAAGTTCAATGCTCAAATCTTTATTTAGTTTCTTTCTACATATTTTTTACAACAGATTAAAAATAACTGGTTCTTTTTGTTTTCCAGTTTTGAATATTCTTTATCAGAATATCATTTTTTAAAAAGTTTAAACCCAATGATAATATGTATGCATTTACCTACATATTTCCTCCTTAAATATCTCTTACCCAAATATTGAAGGGAAGGGGAGGCTTTTCTTATATAATTCCTCCATTCCCTTTCTGCCATCTTTCTTTTAAAAAATAGCAGCAGCCCCCAACTAATTCCAATCTCCTCCAAATCCACATGCAAATTTGTAACCTGGGAGACATCTTCAATTAACTTCTTTTTCTCATCACTTAGATCCAGTCCTCCATCAAATATGATTAAATATATCATCTTGTTTTTTCTTTTTTAAAAAAAGATTTTTTTTTTTTTAAAGAGAAGGGAAGGGAGGGAGAGAGAGAGGGAGAGAAACATCAACGTGAGAGAGAAACATCGATCAGTTGGTTGCCTCTTGTACATGCCCCAACCAGGGGCCAATTCCACATCCCAGGCATGTACCCTAACCAGGAATCAACCTTTTGCTTTGCTGAATGATGCTCATCAAACTGAGCCACACTTGTTAGGGCAAATCTATCATCAATATGGCTTAAATCCATCGGCTATCACTAGATCTTCCTCCTTTTGTCTTTCCCAGGCTAATGTAGGCCTCTCCTAACTGGCTCTGTCTCTTTCTCCTTGACTCCATCCTGCTGTCAGAGTTGTTTCCAAAAATGTGACCTATCTGACCATATCCCATCACAGATTCTAAACTTGTAATGCCTCCCTACTCTTTACAAAATGAAATACAGTTTCTTTATTATGGACCTCTAGAAAATCAAGGTCTGACTCCTACTTACTTTACTATCTCCTATCATATCATTCAAATCAGTGGTCCCCAACCTTTTTAGCACCAGGGACTCATTTCTTGGAAGACAATTTTTACACATACCAGGGTTGAGGGGGTGGTGGGCAGGGGATGGTTTTGGGAAGATTCAAGCACAGTACATTTCTTGTGCACTTTATTTCTATTATTATTACATTGTAATATATAATGAAATAATTATACAACTTGCAATAATGCAGAATCAGTGGGAGCCCTGAGCTTGTTTTCCTGCAACTAGACGGTGCTACCTGAGGATGATAGGAGACAGGGACAACCAAAGTATGTTGCTTATGTCCAGTCTACTCTGTAATTTCATTTTGGTTGTTGTCACTATAGAAAACCCTGCTTCACAAAGATAAGATGTTGGAAATGGAAGCAGGCTTTTCAGTGCTTTTGTGGCAATCACAGGATATTCTACTTAGACTTTAATTCAGAACATATGGAGATTTGAAGTTGTCTCAAACATACTTCTAAGGGCACCATCATTTGCAATCTCAAAGAGTTGATCCTCTTCAAGCATGGACGAAGTTGATATACCTGGCTTATTAACAAATGGGTTGTGGATTCACTCTTTCTCAGTTTGGGGGTCATTTGTGGTTGGGAAGTAATGCTCAAAATTCTTTTGAAAGCTGAGGTAGGTAATTATGCACCAGCTGGGAGAAAGAAGGCATGGTTCAGTCTCTTTCTAAATCTCTACTAATGTTTGAAACATGTCAAAAATCCCAATGTTCACATGTCATAGTTCCATTTTGGCTTTGAATGAAGGCACTTTATCTGCTGACTTGAACACCTGTGACATCATTCTCCCCTGAAGTGACAGATTGAGTTCGTTGAGTAGATTGAATACATCACACAAGTAAACAAATTTTGTGAGCCATTCTGTGTCACTGAAATGTGATGCCACTGGTGACTGTTTTTCTAAAAGAAATCTCAAGCGGCTCTCGTAACTCAAAAATTCTGGCCAGTGATCTACCTTTAGAAAGAAATCTCATTTCTGTGTATAAGAGAACACATGTATGCTCTGCATCCATTTTCTCACAGAGTTGCATGAACAGACAAGACTTAAGGGCATGTACTTTAATGTGTCTGATAATTTTAATCACATCCTGCAAAACATTGTTTAGGTGACTTTATTTTGGTAGTGGAGGAATTTGATTTTTTCTTTTATTTTGTATATTTTATTGATTATGCTATTACAGTTGTCCCAATTTTCTTCCTGTGCCCCCCTCCACCTGGTAACCCCCTTCCCTC